TGTGCCAAGCATTGTGGGAGCCTCTGAGAAATATAAGAATAAATGTGACATGGTTTGCTGTCTGGTGGAAGAGAGAAATATGCAAACAGATAAATGGAATGTAGCCTGAACAAGGAACCTAATAGTGAAAGAATGGCTAAGGGCTAGCAGTGGTACAGAAGAAGACAACCTAACATTTCTGCAGAGAGGGAGGTTAGCAGAGAAGCACACAGAAGAACTGTATCTTGAACTTTGATTGAGTATTTTCCAGGCAAGCAAAAGGTACAGAGGCAATGCTTGTCAGTGGTGGGAACTGTATATGTGAAGTTCACTCTGAATCTATGTCTTCAACTCCAATGGGGGATTTCCTCCAGAGTATCCAAGACTAAGATCACTGGATTTAGAGCCCTACACTTGTGTCCATGTCACAACTCTGCCATTTAGTAGCTGTGGGATTGTGACATGTCTGAACCTGTTTCCTCCTCTGTGAGATGGAGATAATTATTCTCCTGTGCATCACCCAGGGTCATTGTGTGCATGAAATCAATTAATGTATGTAAAAGCACAGGGAAGATTGTGTAATATGAATGTGAAGAGTCATAATGTAATAAAAACCTTAGGGTATGATTTACATAGTCATAATTGTATTTACATTGTTTCTACTTCGCTACCTCTTATTGTTTGTTGAATTCTCTTTGAGTCTTTTTTGAGGACTCTATCCCCAGCTTCTCTTTTCAATAGAAGGCCCTGGGACAATTTTGCTTAACTGCCAGCCCATTGCAGATAACTCTGTAGTCTGGATTTCTATCCTCCAATACACTCTTCTAGTCTCCAGACCTTAATTTCCAGCTGTCCCCTGGATGTTCCTCACCATCCATCAAACAAAAATGTTTGATTTCCTGGGTCTCAAGACTACATTACCCGCCCCCCCCCCCCCAACTGCTCCTAATTTCCTGTTTCTGTTATCTGAGTTCAGGGCCTTTGACTCTTCATTCTCCTCCCCTTATTTCAGTTCATTCTATAGGATTCAAAGGCTCCCTGTTAAGTTTATTGTTACTGTCAAAGCATTTGCTTATTAAGCTCCTACTGTGTTCTAGGCACCTATGTGAAGAGTTTTTCATATATTATCTCAGTTCCCACAATAATCTTAAAGTTATTATCCTCATTTTAAAGATAATAAAACTAAGATTCAAAGAGATTAAATAATTGTTCCAAGGTAGTGTAGCTGGTAAGTGGCAGAGCCACTATTCAAAGCCAGTTGTGCTGACTGGAGAATTTGTGCTCTTAGCCATTTCACCCTGCTTTACAGTAAATTCCTGACTCATTAAATTGGCATTGAGGGCTGTTCACCTCTGCTTATTCATCCTCCTTTCTCACTCTTATTGTGCATTTTCATGATTACTTGCCATTCCTAAAAGTCAATTTGCATTTTCATACATGTTTGCTTTTGCATATATGTTTTTTTCTCAGCTTAGACTTCTTTTTTTCATGTGTTCAAATCCCGAGGGAGGCCCGGTAGTGTAGTGTAATAAGCCAGGGCTGGGGAGTTGAGTGGATCTGTTTTCTACTTTACTTCATAGTCCTGATCTGTTCTACAAAGGGCTGGACCAGATACTGGCAACATTTTGCTGCACATTCCTGCTAGCATTTGGTATTATGAGGATTTTTAGTTTTTGCCCATCTGTGGGTTTGTAGTGATACTGCATTGTGGTTTTAATTTGCATTTCTCTGATTAATGAGGCAGAGCACCTTTCCATCTTTATTGACTATTTGTCATTTCTATTTTGTGAAGTACCTTTTAGCCCTTTTCACATTTTTCTATTGGATTATCAGTCTTTTATTGATCCATAGGAGTTATTTGTATATTCTGGATATGAGCACTTCTGTGGCTTATCTTTTAAAATTTCTTATATGGTATCTTAGGATAAAATGAAGATTTTAATAGAGTTGAATTTATCAATTTCTTTTATTGCAGTGTTTTTTGTGTATGTTTAAAACATATTTTCTGACACATTATCTTATATATCATTTTCTAAAATTCTGCCGGCTTTTTAGATTAGCATCGTCCTTAGCTATTTTCCACTCATAGTATTGTATAGTGTCTCTGACCCAGCAAATGTTCTTATCTTTGAAGTACAACTCTACAAGGCATTTTGCTATTTCTCTGCCAACACAGGGCTTGCTTGTGTTTCCCTTAAAGCACAGAAGTCATGCTATACCCCTCTTCCTTTTCCAAAGGGTTTCTCTTTGTCCCTTGCATCTCTGAACTCAAGATTCTGGGCTTAGGCCTCCACTATGTTCCTCTCAGTGGTGAGCTTCTTATAGCTGCCCCCTAGTATCATTTATCCCTTTTGGTCTTTCTGGGTCCCTGGGCCCAGCCCTGCCCTGCCCCTGGCCTGCTGCAGAGGCCAGGCTGCCATTCTCTGTCTTTCATAAGAATTGCTGCCTCATGGAGAAAGGGGATCACCTTTTCCTCTCAGCACACTGCCACTCCACTCTGTCACCCAATTTACCTTCCAAAAGAAAGCAGTAGGTAGATTACAGATCTGCCCTTGGTAAAACTAACTATAGGGTGTATCTGACAGAAGTTTCTATATGTGAGTTTGTGTGTTTAGTGGAGGGAGTCAAGAAAATTAAAATTAATAAGTTTTATAGTGTGCTATTTCTTGAGCATTTTTAGTAGCTACAGCTGACACTTTTATTTCATCCTATTTCATACTCCCTAATTTTTATGTCTATATTTTCACTGTTTATTTTTATCATCATGGTTTATGTGATACCCATCCTATCCTGTTCATGGAAAAAACTGAGAGTGAAGAAATTCTGTATGACCCAGTTATTTGACTCCCTGACTAATCTGTTTCTGTCCTGTCCTCCAGAGACTAGACTATATCTCCAAGGCAGCATGCTCTTGGAATATATAAGTGCAGTCAGCTGCCTCACCTGTTCAGGTCTGTGGAGGAACCAGAGGAATTATTTAAAGTCCTCAGTTTACCAGGTCAGTGATATATCCATTTCCTTAGGATCCCCTCTTTCACTCTGAGCCCAGAGTTCTCCAAAATATTGATCAAGCTGTACTGGTATCTTTTAGCACCAGGCCCTTTACTCTCCTTACTTGTACTTTCTTATGGAGTATTTTCTACCTTTTTGTAGACATGTAGGTTGTTTTTTGCAGAGAAAGGATTTACAGCTCTCATCTGATTCTCAGAGGGATATTCTAGCTTTCAAAGTTGAAACCACTGAATTAGACTTTTCAACTTTTTCAAAGTGAACTCCACAGAAGAAATCTTACTTTACAGATTCCAAGGAAAATTGGACTACTAGTTTCTAACTGACATACTCTTGTGCCTGAAAACTTTTCTGAAAGCTCTCTTGCATCCTGATAGTCTTTTATATTCATGTTTTCATTCTTCTACCCATTTACCCATCTATTTATTCATCAAATATTGAACAGCTAGATTGATTATGCAAGTTGCTGTAGAATATACAAAGATGTATAAAATACAATTGGTGAGCAGATAGTCTTAACAATGAGATAGATCATATACATAGATACAATTCATGTAGTAAAGAAAAAGTGATCTGAAGGATGCAAACACTCAACGATAAATAAGAAAAAATAGTAAAACAAATAAAATATAAATAAAATTTTTAAAAAAGTGAGAAGAGGTACAGATAAACTGCTTTGGGACTTTAAAAATGAGAGAGAATTATTCTTGCCTGGGACAGGTTGGGGAACAGGGAGGAGTTGGGAAGATTATGTGGTATATTCTAGATTATAGAAAATCCAAGCCAGTTGGAGCAGGTCTTGAGAGATGGATAGATTTTAGATATGTGAAGATACTAGTTGCAGCATGCCATCTCTGATCCTTTATTCAAAAGAGACTTGAGTACTATTGTCTGTCAAGCCTAGCCATGGGCACTTCATGGAGTTTACAGTTTATCAGGGAAGATAAACTCTGAACAAGTCATTTCCTAATTACTTGCAGTGAATAAAATAGATAACCTCTGTGCTCATGAAACCTGTATTCTAGTTGGGGAGACAGAAAGTAAATAAATAGATAATGTATTTTCAGATAGTGATAAGTGCAGTGATGGAAATAAACTGGGATAAGGGAATAGAGAAATGACAGCAAGGTGGGGTTATTTCAGTTAGTGTGGCCAGGGAAGCCTCTCTAGGGGCTGATATTGAACAGAGACCTGAATAAGCCCAATGAGCAAGCCCTAGGAATAGCTGGACAGAGAGCTTTCCAGATAGAAGAATAGCAAGTTCAAAAGCCTCAAGATGGAAGGTTTTAGTATACTAGGAATAGCAAGAAGGTCTCTAGGATTGGAGTGTAATTTGCAAAGGAAGAAGTTGTAGAAAATGAGGGTGGAAAATAGATTTGGCCAGATTTGACAAGGCTTTGTGGCATGGCAATAGAAGGAGCTTGGGAAGCTGTTGGGAGGATGACGTGGTCTGATTTGTGTTTTAAAAAGATCTCTCTAGCTGCCTGGCTCCAAAATGGAGATCAGGAAAACAGTTATTATAGTAGTTCAGCAAGGTGATAAAGGTCACTTGGATTTGTGTAGTTTTATCTATGTATATGACTTATCTGTAGTAGAAATGGCAAGAAGATACATTTAAAGGAAGGGCCAATGGGCTCTTCTGATGGATTGGATGTGGGAAGTGAGAGGGAAAGAGTCAAGAGTGATGCCATGGTTTAAAACTGGAGCAACTTGATGAAAGGTGGTGCTATCTGCTGAGAGAGGCAACACTGGGAAAGGCACAGATTCTCATGAGGATAAAGGGTTCTCTTGTTTAAGGTACCAAGCTGATATCTAAATCAAGATGTCAAGTAGGCAGGTGAGGCCAGGAACAGTGGCTCATGCCTGTAATCCCAGTGCTTTGGGAGGTCAAGGTGGGAGAATCACTTGCGGCCAGGAGTTTGAGATCAGCATGAGCAACATAGGGAGATCTCATTTCTACAGAAAATAAAAAGAAATTAGCCATGTATGGTGGTGTGCACCTGTACCCTAGATACTTGGGAGGCTGAGTCTGGAGGATCATTTGAGCCCAGGGGTTGGAGGTATAGTAAACTGTGATTATACCATTGCACTGCAGCCTGGGTGACACAGTGAGACCTCATCTCTAAACAAAAAAGTAAATAAATAAATAAAAGTAGGCAATTGTATATAAGTGTGAAATTAAGGGGAAAGATTGACCTAGGCATTTAAATTGGGGAGTTAATGGCATATAGAGAGATATCTAAAGCCATGAGACCAGATGGAATCATCTGCAGAGTGGGTGTAAATGGATTTATCATTTTATCCTTAAATACTTTACTTATATTCAAGAGTTAGAGATTTTTAAAAACATAGTCATATTTAATGACACTCATTATCTAAATCATGTCCACATTTCCTTGATTGTCTCTCTTCTCCTTTTTTTCTTTCTTTTCTTTTTTAAAAATGTAGTTGGTTACTTGGAATCAAATTGCCTTTGGTTGGTATGTGACAAGCATTTAAGTCTGTAGGTTCACCCTTCCTTTTTTTTCTTAGAATATATCTGTTGGCAAAACTGGGATATTTGTCCCGTAGAATTTCCCACATTCTGAATTTTGTTGAGTGCAGCATTGTAGTGTTGTTTAAGATGTTTCTCTGTTCCCTTTATTTCCTCTATCAGATCAGATTCAGGTTCAATTTTGAGGGAAAAATACTTCATAGATGGTAATGTGTACTTCCTGTTACAGTGAATCAAGAAGCACTTTGGTTCTCTTTTTATGATATTCATGTTGATCATTGTGTTCAAGTATTGCCACTCTGGTCCATCCATTGTAAAACTCCTTCCCCATTAGCTTATGATTTATTGGTTTTAGCAACCATTGATGTACATTTCCTGAATCCATTACTTCAGTAGAGATGGCAAAATGGTGATAACGAAAGTCTTTTTTCACCTTCTTAATTTAATTACATGAAAATCTTAGAGAAGCTTTTTCTCATCAACTATTTGGTTACCCTGAGGTATAGTTTATATAAGACAGGTAGGATAAATGCTCAGAATTCTCCAGGGTCAACCAGAGAGAGCCCCATCATGATAATTACAGAGTCCTTTAGATAAGACCTGAGTAACCTTTGATAGCTTCCTTGTTTTCCCCGTATGACAGGGTGTTCCAGGTTTATCTTGTTCATTTCCTGATCAACTTGAATTAGCCATTTCTCAAAAGAGTCCCACATCATTACTCTTAACCAATATGTAATATGGAATGGATAGAGAGTGTATAGGTTTTGTGTTCTGTGATCCCATGATGATCTTTCCTCCCAGTACCCTTTGTTCTATTCTTGTATGTACTGGGATAATAAAATAGAATGGAAATGCTTTAAAAACACAACATGAAGTAAAGTTAATAAAATAATTAATAAATAGCTAATAAAATAATAACTCAGAAATAAATACATAATAGAAACTAAAGGCCTGGGCTCTTTGCATAATATCTTTCCAGGAGACTACATTTTACCTGCTAGTCTAACTCTAGCATGTCAGTCATTTTCTATTACCACCTGCCCTCAATTCCCCTCTCTCTGAGATGAAGTATGTGTGGGGATGATATAGGAAAAAGCAATAGACCACAGATTACGTTGTAGCCAGCATGTTTTAGACATAGGGATACGCATGTGTACCTCCTCCCTGTGCTTGGGCTGCTCCCACAATGCCCAAGGTTGTGATAATTCTTTGAGGATAGTCAGGGGCAGATGTTCCTAAATATTGAATTGTCCAGGTTATATTTAAGGAAATTGAATGTTTGCTGATTTGAGTGATGTCAAATTCTTTTACCTCTATAACTCATCAGTGAATTTTCTGTCTTTTGAATGATCTACTTTGGTTCAGGTATGAAACTAGGACTTATGTGACAAGGCAGAAGTGCAAAGAGGAACACTGGTTTCCTAATTGTACAGGTTGAGTATTCCTTACCTGAAAAAGACTGCGACCAGAAGTGTTTTAGATTTAGGATTTTTTAATATTTGCATTATACTGGTTGAGCATCCCAAATCCCAAAACCCCAAATCTGAAACGTTCCAATGAGCATTTCCTTTGAGTGTCGTGTTGGCACTCAAAAAGTTTCAGAGTTTGGAGCATTTTGGATGTTTGGATTAGGGATGGTCGACCTATTTAACAAGTTATTGCCCTAGCTGTAGCTTCACTCACATGTGCTCTTGCAGGAAGGGACCTGAGGAAATCTTTTTGGAGACTGCTGGCCTAGCCATTTGAACTTTTTTTTTACTATCAAACAGAAAGAACTTTGCTTTTAAACTTCTTATGGAAATAATAAATGAACAAATGAATGCATCTGACAAGAGTCAAAACAGCAAAAATTCAAAGAAAATTTCATTAAATATATTCAGAGACTAGGTACTAAGTTTTTAAAAACTTTCATTAAAAGGCACAATTTTGCTCAGAAAAATTAACCATTGTTTACAAGTTTTTCTGTTACCATATTTTCATGAAGTCAGTTTTTTCAAAACTTTAGATGTATATTCTTAGAGCCTATATTCTAATTGTTAATATCTTTGTAATATTTTACTCTAGTTTTCTGAGTGGATATTATAATATTAATTTTCTGGGCATGGCGATGTTCATTGGAGCCTTACAGCATTAAAATGTTTTGGGAAAGATTTATTAACTTTTTCTGCCTTGTGTAAGATGAAGATCTTTTATAAGTAAGATCTTTATGTGATCTAATTAAAATATTAATGTAATTTGTTGAAGGTAGGTATCTATTTCGAAACCTTTAGGTTAAACTCTGAAAAATATTAGACCTGTCAAATATAGACACATGGAGAAACTGCTAGAGAAACTCACTCACTTGGTTCGGGTCTCTGCTCAAATGATGCTTCCTCTGGGAGACCTCCCTCAGCCACCCTTCTGGTAAACTGCCTCACTCTCTTTGTTGTTCTCTATTTTCTTAACCAGCTTCTTCATTCTCTCTTTATTTTTAATTGCACTTATCACTTGTAGCCTTTGTGTTCATTGCTGCATCATTGCCACTTAGAACAGTGCCTGGCACCATGAAAGATACTCCATAATAATTTGTTGATTGAATAAATTGTTCATTATTTGTCACCCCACTAGAATGTAGGTCTCACTGAAGTTGCCTGGCATGAGGTAGGCCTTCCAGTATTTGTCTGAAAGAATGAAAGGAATAAGTAGCAATGAAATTCAATTTTTATATTATATATACACATATATTAATATTTTAATTTTAATTATTTGTTTAAATTATACATAGATTTCTCATCGAGAAATAGATTCTTAGAACAAGATGTGCTGTTCCAAGTAACATCTAGAACCTACAAAATCTGTTGGTGTCTTTTTTGCTAATGTGGATGGGCAGATTTACGTATAGGGTTGTAGTTTTTTTTAAATGACTCAACAATACCTACTGTATTTTAATATAATGCCCATAGATGTCAAAGAGTGTGGTCATGTGACAAATTCATAAAATGGGTTAGTATCTGGATTTTTCTCCTATTTGCATAATTCTTATTGCTAGTATAAATGTCCATCAGTCTGTGTGCTATAATATACTGATTTCATACCTCACAATGGAGAAATAAAGCTTCATATTTTTATGAGAACATTTTATAAACTCTTTTTCACTTAGCTTTTTTTTTTTTTTCCATTTCATCCTGTATTCTTGTGGTTTTATTTGGGAGCACAGTGACATACTTTGTTGAGTTCTTTTATCATTCCCTAACATCCTAATTGCTCAGGTATGATGAACCCTTATGAAGCAGCATGGTACTACTGGTATTCACAGCCTTTGGGAGGCAGGAGATGAAAATGAAGGTCAGAAAAATGAGAACTGGATATGACATTAATTTTGGGCATCTTGAAGAGCTAAGTGTTAGCCTGGCCTTGCTGGATTGATTATGTCCATTAGATAGTCTATGTATCTGGAAAACAAAGATCTTTTCTCAAACTACATGGTGTCAGCTTCTGAATGTGCAGTTTCTTCCTTAGAAAAGGAAATTCTGCCCTTTTTTTTTTCTCCCCCAATGATTTAGCAGAATTTTTCTATTTTCTTCAGGTAATTAAACCAGAGAGCAATGACAAAGAAACAGAAGCTGCCTATGAATCAGATCTCCCTGAGGAGCTCTGTGGACACCATCTCCCTCAGCAGTCCTTGAAAAGCTATAATGACAGTCCTGATGTCATTATAGAGGCTCAATTTGATGATAGTGACTTAGAAGATGGACATGGCAATACACAGAATTTGCTGGTTGATGGTGTTAAGAAGCTGTCAGTTGGCGTTCACGAAAAAGGTGAGTACTGGACTACTGACATTTTGTTTTAGTAAACTGATTGTTTTAAGTATTGGAATTCTCTCTCTGCTACAGAATAAATCACACAGTACAATTGGTATGTTCCGGTTCCAACCTGTTTCAGATTTTAGAAAAGGAGGATCTTTGACAAGCTTATAGCTGCTGGTTAGGAGAGAGGGGATGAAAGTGCTGCCAGTGGTTTGTGTGGGCAGTGGTTGCTGCTGCCACATTCCTAATAGGCTTTGAGTTGTGTTGACAGTTAGCCTTGAAATTTCCTGCAGTGTGCTCAATCACACCCTGTGGTTCCTATGAACAGAATTAAACTGGTCTTTAAGATCCTTATGAAAAAGCACTTAATTTTGCCCTTGGTTTTGCTTTAGTTCAGTACCTTTTAAAAATATATCCGTTATTGTTGGTGGGCATGGATCACTCTAAATCTTATAAGCAGATTACCTTTAGGAAGTTTTTTGATTCTAAGCCTTTAAGAAGGCCAGTCAGTTATATTTTCTCTGATTGAAATCTAAGCCATGGGTTCTCTGGGTGCAGAAAAAAATCAGTTATAAACACATGAGCAAGGAGTTGTGACCAAGGCCCCTACCTGACCACATTCTAGGAAATTTAAGGGAAAGTAGCAATTGCAATTTGAATATTTCAACATTTAGATTCCTAAGAGGTTCTAAGTAGAGAGAGTATGTTTTCTAGCCAAACTGAGTTTTATATATACTATCAGATGGAAACCATTAAGCAATACTGACCTGGCCAGACTGACTAGATAATGAACTTTGTTACAGGAAGAAGTTTCTGGCATAGTCTCCATGAAAGGCTAGAAAAAAATGCCAGAAGAATCACTAAAGTAGGATGTTCAGCAGACAGTCTGTTGTAGGGACTGCTGAGCATACCTCCCTACATCCTAAAGAAAGCTGGAGGTGATTTTAGGAAATGACCACAGAAGGATCACCTTGTTTCTCTCCATTGCTGATGAGATGGTGACCTGGGGAAGACAGCATTTTCTGAAAGCTTGTGCCCTTTGTGGTGCCAAGGAGTACTCATTTAGAATTTCCAACATTGAAATTATTTTTGAATGAAGAAGTTATACTGCCTCTGTCAGGTACTGCTGCCTGCCCCACCAGATATCACTGACCAGAGGGTACCCAGCTTGCTCTTGTTTGTGACATACTTAAATAACTAGTGGTTTCACTGTCAGTGCTCAGCTAATTCCATTTGGATGCTATTTTCCTTGAAATTTCATTCTTCTAATGTTTCTACTTACTTTCTTTTTTGGGGAGAGTATATTACCTTTATTTTTTATTTATTTATTTATTTTTAATTTCAGCATATTACAGGGGTACAAATGTTTAGGTTATGTATGTTGCCTTTGCCCCACCCAAGTCAGAGATTCAAGCATGTCCATCTTACTTACTGTCTTTAAAAATAGTTGAATACTGTGACCCTCTTCTTCTTCTTCTTTTTTTTTTTATTTTAGTGTATTGTGGGGATACAAGTGGTAAGGTGACATATATTGCCCATGCCCCCCCCCCCCGTCACAGCCTCAAGTGTGACCATCCCCCAAACATTGCACATCTCACTCATTGTGTTTGTATATACCCATCCCTTCCTCCCCCTTCCACCTGCCCGACACCTGATAAATGTTATTCCTATATGTCCACTGAGGTGTTGATCCGTTAATACCAATTTGCTGGTGAGTACATGTGGTGCTTGTTTTTCCATTCTTGAGAGACTTCACTTAGTAGAATGGGTTCCAGCTCTATCCAGGAAAATACAAGAGGTGCTATATCACCATTGTTTCTTAAAGCTGAATAGTACTCCATGGTATACATATACCACATTTTATTAATCCACTCATGAATTGATGGGCACTTGGGTTGTTTTCACAATTTTGCAATTGTGAATTGTGCTGCTATAAACATTCGAGTTCAGGTGTCTTTTTCATAAAGTGACTTTTGATCTTTTGGGTAGATGCCCAGTAGTAGAATTGCTAGATCAAATGGTAGATCTACTTGTATCGCTTTAAGGTATCTCCATATTGCTTTCCACAGAGGTTGAACTAGTTTGCAGTCCCACCAGCAGTGTAGGAGTGTTCCTATCTCTCCACATCCAGACCAACATTTATTGTTTTGGCCTTTTTGATAAAGGCCATTCTCACTGGAGTTAAGCAATATCTCATTGTGGTTTTGATTTGCATTTCCCTGATGATTAGAGCTGTTGAGCATTTTTTCATATGTTTGTTGGCCATTATTCTGTCGTCTTTTGAGAAGTTTCTGTTCATGTCCTTTGCCCATTTTTTGATAGGGTTGTTTGATTTTTTCTTGCGGATCTTCTTGAGTTCTAAATAGATTCTAGTTATCAGCCCTTTATCGGATGTGTAGCTTGCAAAAATTTTCTCCCATTCTGTGGGTTGTCTGTTTGCTCTCTTGACAGTTTCTTTGGCTGTGCAAAAGCTTTTTAATTTGACCAGGTCCCATTTATTTATTTTTGTTGCTGCTGTGATTGCCTTTGGGGTCTTCTTCATAAATTGTTTGCCTAGGCCAATGTGTAGAAGAGTATTTCCAACATTTTCCTCTAGAATTCTAATAGCTTCACACCTAAGGTTCAAGTCTGTTACCCAGCGTGAGTTGATTTTTGTGAGAGGTGAAAGGTATGGGTCTGTTTCAGTCTTCTACATGTGGCTATCCAGTTTTCCCAGTATCATTTATTGAATGAGGATTCTTTTCCCAGTGTATGTTTTTGTCTGCTTTGTCGAAGATTAGTTGGCTATATGAGGATGGTTTTATATCTGGGTTCTCTGTTCGGTTCCACTGGTCAATGCCTCTGTTCTTTGCCAATACCAAGCTGTTTTAATTACTGTAGCCTTGTAGTATAATATGAAGTCTGGTAAATTGATACCTCCCATTTTGTTTTTATTGCCTAGGATTGATTTTGCTATACGGGATCTTCTCTGGTTCCATACGAAGTATAAAATTATTTTTTCTGTATCTGTGAAAAATGATGGGGATTGCATTTGACTTTCGATAGGGATTGCATTGACTCTGTAGGACTGTGACCCTCTTCTTAAAGTTCATGTGTATTATCATAACAGCATCAGTACTGTGAGTCATATATTTTCAATGAAAGAGTGTTAAATAACCAGGACCCTAAATAGCTAAATCCTTCATCAGTAAGATCACCAAGGAAGAGATAGATATTCACGGGACAAAGCCAGGCAAAAGAATACTTTATTAATAAAATGTATTATTATTTGGCCCAAAACTAGTTTGTGGAAACCCAGCTCTGGTGATTGGGCTTGGCAGATCTCAGCAGCTTCTTTTCCTCGGGGCTCCAAGTTGAAGGGATAAGATGCCTTGATCTCTTCTTAGTGGTTGGTACAAATACAAGGGGAAGGAAATATTGATGGATGGAAGTGATGGCAGAAAGGATGCCTGAGCTGGATGCTAGCAATTCACTTTGTCCTTTGGGAAGCTCTGATGCCAGACCTGCTGTTGACTGACCCTCTGCTGTAGTTCTCCTGCCTCTCTCTTCAAGCAAATATTAATATTACTGAGTACTTTGCAAGTCCACTGTGTGCATGTTTTTTTCCTTATCCTTTATACATCCTTGCTAGCCCACTGTTATTTATATTACTTTCTTAGTAGTCTTGACTGAGGAAACAGCCTTAATCCTTCCCTCAGTACCTGGTACAGAGTTCTTTTTCCTGCTAGCCTCAAAATAGAGAGTTTGTGAAACCACATGGCTGTTTCTCATTTCTTGCCCTCTTGATATTTAGGAAAATTGCAATTTGCTCTTTTAAAAATCATGGTGTTTTTAAGGATATTTCAACCAGCTTCTCTTTTTCAGGATAATATAAAATCTGGTTACAGTTAGGATGTTAGTACTTTTTGCACTATTTAAGGTTTTGAATTTGTTATTGAAACAAACCATAACCTTAAGAACATCATAAACTTTTCCTTAGACTTCTAGAAAGGTTCTTTGCTTTGTGTTGTACTTGCAAGTGGATTATTAATCCTAGTTCATGCTTGTGTTCAAAAGTGTTTTGTGTTTTTTCTTTAGTATCATGTTTTTTTACTCAAAGCAAATGTTATATATCACATGTGTATATATAGCATATCCCTATTGGCCCAGAAAGCATTCATATCTTTATGATAACCACCAGTTTCCCTAGTAAGTGAACACGTTACCCCACTAATCTGTAGCAAATGCGTATTACTGCATTAAGAGAAAAGTTCTCTAGGCATCTAAGACCCACACAAGTAATCTCTTTGAGGAAGACAGCATGAGAGTAGGAAGATAGCATGAGAGCTCCTCAGCCCCTGAGAGAGAGTAGGCCAGACACTTGGGCCCCTTTTGAAGGTCCAGTTCCACAGCCTCTTGACACTAAGCTTTTATCACTTTACAAGCAGTAGCTTTGTTGTTAGCATAGAAATCTGCCATCTGTGTAGAGACCGGGGACAACCCAATTGAATTTTTCTTGATATCAATTGCATAAATGACTTTAAAAATGTTTGGGTAGTGGTTGCTGGTTAGCAAACTCCAAAGGATAAAAGTCATCATCGCCAAGTGATACAGTAGCTCTGTATCTTTCATCACCAGGAACTTTAAGAACAGTTTTGGCTTCTGAATCTTGGTGATCATGATTTAATCAGGCTGTGATGTACATTTCCTGCCCTCTATCCTGGAAGGGTCTGCCAGAGATCTTTTTCAGTTTTCTGGTCTGGAGACAAGCCTCTACCAGTACCCTGACGAGTGAGTGTGAGTCAGTCAATGACCCTTTCACTTCTGTCTCCTGGCCAACTTCAGCAACTTTCTGAAGAGGAGAATCCACATGCAATCCTTAATCCCTTCTGAGATTTGAACTGGTCTATTACTGCTACTGCTGGGGCCTGCCCAAGTCACCTCGGGAATCGGGAAGACCCCTTTTTTCTCACTTAAGATTGATACCCTTTCATTGTGTAGGTTTCTTTGAGTACTCTTTCCTTAAATAAAAA